TTACTAATACTAATTACTAATAGAAAAAAACCCTTAGTAATTAGTAATTAGTAATTACTATTACTAATTACTAACGATTTTGCAACCCTGGTAGGGGTCGTTCTCAAGCTCACGGGCCGGAGACTGGGGTATCACTGCCGTGGGGGCTGTCGAACCAGACAAGGCGAGCGAGTGGAGGTCAACGTGTGGTGCGGCTGAGTGTTATCGATCGTTCCACTTACTGAGACACATTGATCTGATCAGGCACACATATCTGACTACCTAACATTTTGGGCAATCTAGTGTGCTCTCTCTCATACTCTCTTTTTGTAAGACAGTCAACCATCAAAATGGCGGAACCAACCAATACACCCGTGCCAGCTTCTACACCGCGAGCTACATCTCCTGCTCCTCAACTTCCCTTCATCTCTCAAGGGTCTCTCTCAATACGGTCATCCATGACATCCTCAAAACACAAGGTTCTTCATATTGGAGACCCTGTCAAATACAACCCTGAAACATATCTCCGCTTCAGTATTCAGTGTGAGGTTATCAGACCGCCAATTGAAGAGCGGCAGCGACCAGAGTTCATCAAGGCCCTCAAGGAAAAGAGATGGGGTGATTTTGATGCCATATTTCGGCCATTTTGGGGAACTGGAGGTGAAATGGGGAAATGGGACCAAGAGTTGATTAGTTTGCTGCCACAGAGTGTCAAGGTATTTGCAAGCGCGGGTGCTGGGTTTGACTGGGCTGATACGAAGCTACTGGGAGAACGAGGTGAGTTGACACAACTGCCTGTAGACACTCGCTGACTCGAAAGGAATCATTTACTGCAATTCTGGTCTCGCGGCTGCTGAAGCTGTAGCTGACTTTGCTATTGTCGGGATCATTTCAACATTCCGGGTCCTCCCATGGTGTATCTCCTCCGCCATGTCGGGCGATGAGGAGGCATTCAAGGAGAATCATCGCGATGCTACAATGCAGTCGTACAATCTCCGTGATCAGGCTCTAGGCATCATTGGCTTTGGCAACATTGGTCAACAAATCGCTGCTCGTGCGCGACATGGCTTTGGGATGGACATTCACTATTATGATGTGCTTCCCAAGCCTGCTGCTGTCGTGGCTCCTGTCCGAGCTACCCACCATGAGACGCTTGAGAGTCTTCTTGGTCGATGCGACTGCGTTGTTCTCTGCACACCAGCTGGTGAAGGCACTCTGATCAACTCAAAGACTCTGCCATTCTTCAAGCGTGGATCGCGGTTTGTCAATATTGCACGGGGAAGTCTTGTTGACGAGGATGCACTGGCTGCTGCTCTTCGAGACGGTACACTGTCAAGCACGGCTCTGGATGTTCATGCAAACGAGCCAAAGATACACCCCAAACTGTTGGAGCTCGCTAAACAGGGCCGCGTGTTGGTGACATGCCATAATGCTGGTGGAACAGTCGACACCCACAAGGGTTTTGAAGAGCTGAGCATGAGAAACATCATGGCTGTTCTCAGCGGAGGAGAAGCCATTACTCCGGTAAACCTGGAATTTCTCAAAAAGTAGCGCAATACGGCGATAGAGGCTAGAAGCAGATAGCATAGAATCATGATAACGAATGCCTTAACCAATACATATACCAACTCCGGCTTAACAATACCCAACACTAATCATACAGATACACTTACTCCTTGGGCTTCTTTCTAATTAGACCAGTGGAAAGTACATTTACAGCCTTGGGCTCTTCTTTCGGCTTCTTCTTGACGAGGCCCTCTCCAAGGACATTAACCTTGTTTTGAGACTCGTCGACAGTTGAATCGGTTCGTTTTCTCTTGACAAGACCAGTGAGATTGTTCACGCCGTTCTCGCGGTCGTGTGCCGTTTGAGTTGGCGTCTCGCGTGCACCGGATACAACAACGCCCCAGTTACCACCGCCTCCGCCTTCGCTCAGCCAGCGGCGTGTACTACCGACCGCTTTGTTGAGGGTAGCAAAGTCGAGGTGTAGTAGTAGATCTACAATGCGCTTGTAGGTTGCCTCGTCGACAATCTTCTCACCGCGACCTTCAGGTGTCCATGAGTAATATGCTGTGTTTGCGGGACGATCAAGCAGGTAATTGTGTTTCGCGCGCTTGATCTGGGGCTTTCGAGGAATGATCGGACCGGTGAGTTTCTTTTTCTTCTGCTTCTTCTTTGGCTTGGTGTCTGGCTGTTTCTTGCTGGGAAAGAGTTTTCGAGGTGTTGTGGTTGGTGTTATTTGAGTGATCCGCTGCGCCTTTGGTGTCGACGGTGGATTTGTCGATGGAAAAGACTCGTTTGCTGTCGGTTCTGGTTCCTTGTCGTCAAATACCAACCAGATAAACCCCGTCATGCGGCCACTGGAGCATTCTTGTCGGAAAGCCATCATTTCCCAAAACATGTCGAGAGTCTTGACACTCTTCCAGCTACCCTGCATCTTCATTGCTTGCGAACTCGCAGCCTCCTCATCAAGCTCATCCCGGAATCGTGATTTGGGATCGTCAGGAAAGTGTGGGATCAGACATCGCGGTGGTACCCAGTCAAATTCCCGATAATAGTGTGATATTCGTTCCAGCGGATGCGTAAACTCCCAAGCAGCGTCTGTTCTTCGAGGTGTCATTGCTCGAATCTCATTTGGCTCCAACCCTGGTACGACGATGTATCCCTTTGAACTCTTCCACGGTGCTTCTACCGATTTTGGTGCTGGTCCGAGAAGGGGATCGAGCACGCGACACCACCACTTGATAAGACCGCGGTCATCGAGGACATGTTTGCCCTTATTATCGACACTCCCGGGAAATAGGTATTGATCTTGCGCGCGGGCGAATAAATTGACGATGAATTGTATATCCTTTCTTTTCCTCTTCTCAACGAGGAATCCAACAAACGTGGCACATATTTCACGAATAGGACTCGGTGTCGCCTTGGGAAGATTGAGAAGCGTCAGATAGCCCGTCGAATCAGCCTTTGACACAAACAATGTAGTCGATCGAGCAGTCGTGTAGATAAAGACTTCAACACCTAGCACCAAAACCTGCTTGCCGTCTGCATCGATTGAACCAGCGAGGAAATGGTTCTCGCAGTACGTTCGCTCGGGCCGTTCGTTTGGAGGCGGGGAGTACAGAGGGTCGGTCTTTGTAGGGGGCGTTGATATGTGGAGGATTGTAAAGTCGTGGTCTTTTGGGAGGACAGAGGCCAGACGAGATTTTAGGCCGTTGTCTGTCATGATGGTTGCTGATGGATGTTGGAGCTGGGATCGATTGTTTGGTATAAGTTGGGGTGGTCGCTAGGGCAGCGGTGGGGCGTTGATCTACAGGGGTTCGAACGCAGGGGTCTAGTGGAGTCCGTGATACCTGCCAGGTCCCGACTGTCAATATCCGTCTATGGATCTGGGATTATTCAGCTCTTTGACCTCATGGCTCCAAAATGATGGTATAATCTCAATACAGGAATTAACAGGAATAGAAACATCATTCATTGCTCGTAATCGCTTAAACGCTTGCACTCAAATCTTGCACCAACTCTGAAGGTTTCGGATGATCACTCCTCCAGCTCCCAACAGCCATAGCAACATATAAAAGATTCCATCTCGGACCATCCGGAAAACAGACAAATTCAGCAATCATCATCTCAACCAAAGGCTTGTACTTGGTCAAAACCTCCTCTGACCCTCTTCCCTCTACGAGAGCCTGCAGCTCGTCAATCTCGGCTGGTTCGAGATACTTGCGCAAATGGTTCTCAACTTCCCCTGGAGTCTTCCACCATTCGGGCCCCTGTCCTTTCTCGACTAGTTCCTGTTCCATTTTGCGTCGTAGATCGGGCAGCACTGACTTCCACACCATTTCGGTTCCTGCGCGTGGAAGATCGATGAAGCCTTTGTGCTTGTACTCTAGTCGAGCCAGGGCCAGTGAGAGCAGGAATCTTCGATCGTTTAGGTGCTTTGAGTGGTTGAATAATCGATCCATCGGGTTTTGGGCTGGGAGTCCAGGTCTACCAATCATGTTGAGCTTGTATGTCTCCCATAGCGATACTGTATTTCTTGTACATGCCCAGTATAGCGTCCCTGCAAATGTGTATAGACCGTCGCCGAGATATTTGCCTGCATCTGATGGCGCTTCAAAAATACGGGCCAATCTGTCCGTGTTAGTCCAGAGTTGCTGCTCTAGACTTAGACGAGGAGGCGCGGTGTTTTGGCCCAGCGATTGAGCATGTATCATGATATCCGACGACAACAACCCTGATAGATATGATAACCTCTCAGCAGAGATTGGATCAGTGTCTATTGAACCAGAAGTTGTCAAGGCTCGACTTTCGCTCTCTTCTCCAAGGGTTTCTCTCGCTTCAGCCAGCGCCGCCTCAAGTTCCTGATCCTTCCCACCACGCTTCAGCGCGACCTTTTCAATTCGTTTGAGAGCATTTCTCAACCTCTGATTCTCATCTTTGAGAGTGTTGAACTTTGAGGCATGCCTTTTGCGATACTCGCGCTGCGCAACTCTGCTGCGCTCCCGCTTCGGCTGTTCATACATGTTAGGTGGTGTTTGGTAACAAAAGTTTCTGCTTGGTAATTGTGAGATCCACATACATCGGAATTATCTCCATTTCCCGGAGGTGACATTTCAATGGCATGGGGAGTGTGATGACGATGTTGGAGGAATAACGTTGCTGACTTACCAAGAGAGGATCGATAACGTTATGAGGCGTTATGGTGGCTGGTGGGGTAGTCATGTAGCAAGGGTGAGGCGTCAGCGCATGAGTAATGTGTAACGCAACTCAACGTTGAGTTCACGATGCTCAGTGAAAGATGCTCATGAAAGGATTCACAAAGATGAAGGATGCTGGGCCAAAAATGTATATATTGTATGAGAAGGCCGAAAAAAAGAAATGAAATCGCTCTCATTCAGTCACTATTCATTTACTGTTCAGCCACTATTCGTTCACTGTCTATTCACTACTTATCCACACATCTCATCCTTAATTAAGCGTCAAAATGGCATCCCCAGTCAAGACACTTCACAAGACTTCATATCCGTCCATCTCCTCCTTTCGTCCTGAGCTCTCTACCAAAGGAAAGAATGCTGTAATCACAGGTGGTGGCTCTGGTATTGGTGCCAGCATTGCCAGGTCATTTGCCAAATCAGGCATCACCAACTTGGCTCTCCTTGGCCGAACAGAAAAGACACTCCTCGAAAACAAAGCCTACATTGAAGAGAAATACCCCGAAACTAGAGTCTGGACTTATACAGTCAACATCGTCGACGCTGACTCGACCAAGTCTGTCCTCGAAGCTTACACCACTGCAATCAATGGAAAGATCGACATTCTCATCGCCAACGCTGGATACATGCCCAAGACCGAACATGTGACCGTGGCAGATCCTGTCGATTGGTGGCTCACATTCGAGATCAACATCAAAGGAAACTTTAACCTCTTGCGTGCCTTTGACCCTCTCGCCACTCCCGGAGCCACAGTCATCCACGTATCCACAAGCGCAATGTACACAGAGTTCATGCCCGGATTCTCAGCCTATCGCGGCTCAAAGCTTGGAGCTTACAAAGTATTTGAATGGTACGCCAATGAGAACCGAGACAAGGTGGTTATACAGTTTCACCCCGGACTCATCATGGACACGGCCATCACTCGACCTCTCGTGGATGTCGTCAAGGACTATGGACTTGTTCCGGAGGATGTGTCACTGCCGAGTGACTTTGCTGTTTGGGCTGCGAGCGATGAGGCCAAGTTTCTGAGTGGCAGGTTTGTGGAGTGTATGTGGGATGTTGAGGAGCTCAAGGCGGCGAGGGATGAGATTAAGGAGTCATGGGAGAAGTTTACTGTTGGGTTGGTGATCTAAATGACTACGATGTGTCAACCGACTTTTTATTTTCACGGGAGCGGGCCGAGATAAAATAGAGTACAAGGCTTTATTTTCAAAGTTTCGTTCTCATAAATATAAGCTCAAGGCAGCTGGTCGTTAGATGTGGTACAGAATTCAAGGGAGTTCATATTTCTAAATCGCTGCTTTCCCTTCACTCGTCAATTTGATCAATCTCCATCGTCTATCAGTGAAAAAGAGCTTCAGAATCACTAGGATAACGAAGAAGAATTTAATCTCAATTTATATTGTCTACTGTGTCAAAGAGCCATGGCTCCTCTGCAGACTACGCAAACACACCCTCTGTTGATCACAATGGATAGGAGATCTTATGTCGGAAGTGGCCCGGAAGATGACCCCAAGGAGCTATATGACCTCTTCCGCGAACTGTCACTCGAAAGGACTATTGATCCAGACAAGATGCAACGACACATCCTTGACTCTCTCTACCGCCTTGTCCATGGCTCCAACAACATCGAAGATGTCAGTTTCAACTTCAACACTACAGTCGAGCTTTGCCGAGCCATTTTCGAAGGCTCGATCAGTAACCCATCTGATATCCTAGTGCTTGACGTGGAAGTCTATCGAGAGCTGAGCCAGCATCTCAAGGCAGCGCAATATCTCATTTGCCAAACCACAAAGAGCGATCTGTCCGAGGATATCATCAAGGAAGCGCATCGAATCTTGACGAATGAGTTCAATCAGACTCAAGGCACATATGATACCGAGTACAGCGGCAAATATCGCACATCTCCCGTACAAGCAACGTCCCGTCCCTACATGGACCCCAACAAAATCCCCGCTGCGATGGACAAGATGATGGCCAGCTACAGATCTGATATACTGGCTGCTGGAGTAAAAGGAGAGATTGATCCTGTGGCGCTTGCAGCAAAATACAGCCACATTTTCTTCAGTATCCATCCATTTCATACCGCCAACGGCCAGATGAGCCGCCTTATACTCAACGCTATACTCTTCAAGTGGGCGGGGTGTCTCGCCCCTTTTGGTCAGGATGAGGAGGAGTGTGCAGAGTATCTTTCAATTACTGTTGAGGCGATGGATCTGGAGATCTCTGAGGCTGAGACTTGCCGTGGAGTGTCGGACGGCTGTAGACCGAAGCTTTATAAAAAGCTGGCTTCCTATGTCTTGAAGCATGCGACGGCGGGTATGTTGCTGGTTTGCGAACCTCTGCAATTGGATGGGTGATATACCATTTATTTAATTCTTTTCGTGTCTGGGATACCTTTTGTAACATTCGAGCAGAATTGGAACAGTTTACAGGATGGTTTCCAGAAAAGGGGGTCATGGTGACTTGGCACGAGCATCAAGAAACACATCCTCCACCGCCTATCATTATTAACACTGCCAGAACCCTTGGTCCCAGACACTATCAGGGATCGAGCAGCCTCACACATCAAACACCATCACGCCCTCACTTTCGGCCGATCCACCACTCTGCCCCTGGCACTGCCAACACCTGCCAGCCGCCACGCCAACACTCTACTCACACCTAAACCACCCCCAGCCATACCTTTATGTGTCAGAGTCACTGAACCCCTATCACCAGAAGTGGCGGCAGCTCGCTTTGGCCTAACGGTTTAACAAAGCGTGTACGACCGGTCTCTCGCCGCTTTCCAGGACAGTTCGTGGGATCGAATCCGGTCTCCTTACTGCCTGGAAAGCTTGAGTTGCAGGATGGGAAACACCAGCAAGACAGAAAAAGGAAAAGACATATATGTAACGATGGAGTGGGATGAGTGGTGCCCGGAGCCTGCAACTTCGAGATTGATATTTTTGCAGTTTGTAGGTAATTTATTTAGTTTTGATACTGGAAAAAAGTCCCCAAAGGCCCTACCTAGTAGCTCAAAGCATATTTGTTTCCTCTGTGATGTCTGATGATAAGATTGATGGCAACAGTCGCTCCTTTGTGCTCATTTCTGACGACGCTTCTGTTTGTTCCTTTTCACTTTCTTGCTTTTAGTCGTGTTCTTTGGGTTTATCTTTTTCTCCTTCTGCTTTGTTTGATCCTCCTCTTCCTCGCTTTCATCTCCCTTCTTACCTGCCCTCTTCTTGTTCTTGTTATTCTTTCCCCCCTGGTTAGTTATCGCTTCATTATCCTCGTCTTTGTCTACTTCCTCTCTGCTCTTCTCCTCCTCCTTTGGCAGCCCCTCTACTTGATCGCCTTGCTCCTTGTTACCCTCGTCCTCAGAACCATGATCACTATGTCCCTCGCTCCTCTCCTCCGCAGTCGCCTCATCTGTTCCCGCAGTATGCTCTTCCTCTCCGTCCACCTCTGGCGAATCTGGCGGGTTGCGGTGAGCCTCGAGCCAAGCGACGCAAACTTGCATGGGATGCGCAGCTGTCTTGACTCCGTAATCGTATCCATAGTAGTACCCGCGCTGCAGCAGCATTGGATTAACTACAAGATCGACATTTTGTCCCTCTTCATTACGGCCGAGACCGCCATAATGGTCTTCCATAGTCTGGCCCTCTATTCCTTCAAGGTTACGTTGGAAAGAAAACCCGGAGGTTTGTTGAGTTATGGGGTGGTGAAAGACATGGGAGAAGACAGTCAGGTTGGTGTCAAAGAGGAAATCCAGGTCGACCACGATACTAGCAAGATTTAGAAGAACCGGGTGGGTTTCGTTGGCGGGATCTCTTCCATCGTACTCCTCTGGGAAATACCGGCCGAGCGCCTTGGCAATGATAGGGACAACACAGGTAGGATCAATCCTCCGTACGCTCTGCGGGGTGTCTTCAAGTGACATGTAGAAATCGATCGTGGTATATCTCCAATGTGGAAACTTGTGGGAGTCAAGATTACGATCGTAGCGGAAGTCGTGGTCTGTTGGGTTGGGTTGGTCTGGTTAGTGCTGTGCCACCTCATTCTCGGAGCTTGGGAATCTTGGTCGTTTCATGATTCGTACCTCGTAAATAGCGCTTGATGGTTGCCTGGGCTTCCCAGTAGGGTGAGGCCCAAACTATGTCCTTGCTTTTATGGGAAAAGAAATTCTCATCAACAATCTCCCAAACCCATCGTTGAAATATTCGCTGGTTCATGCCATACGGTTCAAAAAGCTCTTCTGCATTAGGGGCATAGCTGATGAACTTCTGCTGGAGGGCCTCATCGAGACTGTCCCAGGTAGCATTATGAATGCTGGGGACGTTCAAAACGGCGGCAATGCTGCCGCTGAGACTCTTCCAAGAGTCTATGGCATTAAAGTCTGTGCGATCGAGAGCCAGGTGCCGATGAAGATACGCTTTACTACGGGTTAACTTTCTTTCGTGCTCGTCATATTCCTGTTCCTGTTCTTCCTGTTCAATCTCGATATATGTTAGTCTTGAGACGTATTTCTGACACCAATGGACATGGCTACATACCCGTTTAGGATCGATCCCTGGGGCCTGTTCTTTGGGAGCCTGTTCTCCAGGAGCTTCTTCTATCCATTCTTTGGCTCGTGAATCCGGTGAGTATCTCACTACTACATGGGCTAGCAAAACCAACCAGTAACTGACACACTCCCCAGGGCGATGAGCTCTCTGCTGGCGGCCAAAACAGAAGGCCTGTTCCTCCACAGGCAGTGTGGCAGGGGAGAGATGGGTGTTTTTACGTGAACATGTATCGTCAGGAGGGCCCAGATGCAGTCCCTGGATTCGCAAGCTGCTTGTCCAGGAATGCTGTGGGTGAGCTCCAGAACCTGGAGTTCAATTTTCATTGGGATGGCACCAGGATGCATTACGTTCTGCTGTATCAGGGCAATCAACAAGTTCCCCTGACGATCGAGAACTACTATGATCTTTGAGGAATATCTCCCTGGCTGGGATGAATGCTGAGGCGAGATGTCGCAAGAGTCTTGGGGGGGAATTATCAGAATGGCATTCATGGATAAATATCATGCTATGAGGTGGAAAGTTGTTCATTTCCTCGGATCTAGAAATTGGATGGTTCATGACTTGTGTAAGATGCTGCTGGTTCATCCTAAGTCATCCGATATGTCACAGCGCTTTTCTCCTCCCCCTCCTTGATGGTATCTTGGGTCAAGAAGTAACCCCGACTATCTTTATCAGCCAGGCCCTTTCCGACCTAGACAAGTTCCGAGTGAGATCTTGAGAGTAGCCATCAGGTAAAATCATTGCAAGGTGCCTCACTATTGAGGGTTAATTTAGGTTATACACCAGCTGGGATTAATGCGCCTCGGTCGCGCCATCAACATCAACTTGCAGTCAGTCAGCTGTTAATTGATGAATGGTAGAAGCTGAGATGAAGCATTGAAATGAAGTTGTGACAAAGTATGGCAGTATCCAAACTCAAGGTCAATATCGATCAGAGCTCAAGTGTGGCGCTGACTTATCAAGCCACACTGTCCAAATGCGCAGCTCCATCTCAGCCTCGTCAAGCTTCACATTCACGCAACTCAATAAATATACCTTACAGTTCTCCGACACAGTCCCAAACCACACACACTGCCCTCTGAATCACGTCACCCAAATCAGCGCCTTCTTGCGCAATCCACAGCGCCATGGCTACCGATACCCCCAAACTGCTCTGGAATCCGGATAATGTCAAGGATGTCGCAGAGTCGGTCGGCATCAGCGCTCTCAACGAAGAAGCGCTCAAGTGCTTGGCACAGGACGTCGAATACCGGATCGGCCAGGTCATCGTAGAATCTCTGCGCTTCATGCGCGCCGCCCGCAGGACAACCCTCACCGTAAACGATATCTCCCTCGCCCTCAGGGCCCTCGACGTAGAGCCCCTCTACGGCTACGACTCTACGCGTCCGCTACGATACGGCGAGGCCAGTCTTGGACCTGGCCAGCCGCTGTTCTACATTGAGGATGAAGAGGTCGATTTTGAAAAGCTCATCAATGCGCCTCTGCCCAAGGTGCCGCGCGACATGGGTTTTACAGGTACGTTTTCCGGTCGGCGCACGATTCCATGTTGACGTCTTCAGCGCACTGGCTCGCCATCGAGGGTGTCCAGCCTTCCATCCCTCAGAACCCCACGACCTCGGAATCTCGATCGCAGGAACTCCTCCCCAAGGGGCCTGGTGCGAACCCTGCCTTGTCCGCCCTGGCAGGCAATGACAATGTCTCCATGAAACCATCTGTTAAGCACATTGTGAGCAAGGAGCTCATACTCTACTTCGATAAGATCCAGGCTGCTGTTCTCGACGACAATCCTGACGAAGAAGTGGTACGCCTACGGCAAGCCGCTCTCGGTTCCGTGAGAGACGACCCTGGACTGCACCAGCTCATCCCATACTTCATCACCTTTATCATGGACCGAGTAACACACCATCTCGATGACACCTTCACTCTAAAGCAGATGATGGAGCTGACGAATGCTCTCATCGAGAACAAGAGCCTTTTCCTGGATCCCTACGCCAGTCCCCTGTCAGCGCCCGCTCTTACTTGTCTAATGGCGAGGAAATTGGGCACTGATGAAGGAACGGATGCTCTCAAGGAGCAGTATGATCTTCGACAGCTGGCTGCATCTCTGGTTGGACGAATTGCGCGCAAATACTCTGCTTCCAACACACTCCTGCGACCCAAGTTGACGAGGACATGCCTCAAATACTTTCTCGACCCTACCAAACCCCCTGCGGTTCTCTACGGTGCCATCCACGGCCTGTTGGAAGCAGGAGGTCCAGAGGCAATCCGCGTGCTGGTGCTACGCAACTTGCAGACTTTTGACTCGGGGATTTTACAACCCCTGAAGGAAAAGGCAGAGGGCACAATGGACTACGAGATGCTAGTTCAGGGCATAGTACAAGCTGTGGCTTCGCTGGCAGATCATGTCGAATCAGACACCAACGGAGTCAATGGTACAGCAAATGTCGAGACAGAGATATCCGAACTCAAGGACTTTATCGGGCCCATCATCGGGGAAAAGATTGCCTCTGCGGGTAATCGGAGATTGATCAGGACAATCCTGGATGCTCGATTCTTGGATTAGATATTTGGCACGTAATATTCACGACAGGCGAATGGCGTTTGGTTGCGGATACCTCACGAGGTGTTGGTTAGAACAGGCTCAAGCATTTAAAGGCGCTTGTGTACAGATAATAAAATTCTTTGCTCAAAGTCAGGAATGCCCTCAGGCTAATACTCGTACACGAGTTTCTCGTCCTTGCCGTACTCCTTCCCTTATCCATTGTGTCATCCACTGCGAACCATGCCATCTATATCCCTCCGTCTTCTGTTCAATTTTGGTATTCTACAGGAAAGCAACCAGGCCAATGGCGCCGAGGAAACTGGCAGCCCAGATGTACTTGTCGGCCTGGACAATAGTCGTCTTGGCGAAACCCTTGCCAGCGTCGTACAGGAGGTGCTTGAAGCCGCTGATGGCGTGGTAGACGAAGGGGAAGCCCAGCGTGAACTTGATGCCGCCCTTGATGGCGAGGGGGAGACCAGCAGCGAAGCTGGCGATGCTTGCGCTCTCGAGGTGAAGTCCGACAAGAGGAGCGACGAGGTAGGCGAGGGAGAAGCCGTACATGGTCGCGGAGAGGGTGCAGCCGGTGATTCGGTTCCAGGCGGAGCTACCGAACCATGTCTGCTCGATCTTGTAGATGGCCAGATGGGGAGAGACGGGACGGTTGAGGCGCTGGTTGACGAGGATCTGGTGGCCGTCTTGCTGCGAGACCTTGGTAGAACCGACAGCGCTGCGAATGTCAGATGGGTGAAGCTCGATTGAAGCTAGGGACGCACCGTAGGGGGGAAGAGGTAGAGATTCCAGCAGCGAGAGCAGCCTTGGGGATGTTCTGGGCGAAGAAGGGCTTGGTCGCGCCTACAGAGGTGTTAGATATCGGGATGTCGAGGCTCGGGTTGCCAAAGTACCTTGACGAAGAGCGGCGACGCCAACACGTTGAGCGAGCATCGTGGCGGATTGTGAGAATCTATCGATTTCAAAGAGAAAGGGTTCAGCCAAGGTCCGGTCAACGATATCGTCAGCGTCGATGCTTCAAGGGCGAGAATCCGTACGGTATCTGGAGTATCAATGATGATGGCTTCCTATTCTCGAGACATCGGAACGGGCCTCCTCGGCTTCTCGGTCCAATCAGCCAATGGGATGATGTCAATTCCTCATCTCGGAACGCACGTGACCCACTCTCACGTGCAGAGACTGAATGACTAAGCAGGATCGTGGGTTTTGTTATCGCGAATTTTTTGCGTCGCGGTTTGGATTTTCCTTTCTTCTTCAGATAGACAAGAACGTTCGCCGCACGCTGTCTAGTGTAGAGAGTGGACAGCATTGTAGGCAGGGTCTTTGGACTCGAGAACAGTTCTTAGAAGAATATTGGGAAATTGGATCCGTCGTTAATCTCGACACCTAGTTTTCCCGTCTAGGTGTCGTTTCATTTTTGAGATCTACATTCTGATGTATACGTGCTTGTGATTTGACCTTTGAAGGCGAGCTCGAGTAGTGCCCCGTGATAATGACTGGTCTACAATGACTGTGATTGACCCGAGGTGCTCAACGTGAAGGTCAATTGGATAGCATATTGCTGAACACTGAACAACGATGGCATCGCGTCGAATACGTAAAGACTGTCTTTGATGTCGACTCCAAGGTGTAAAAACATACACCGCAGCTGCCAGAGGAGTTGCAGTTTGTGTAGCTGAACTGCGCAAGGACTCGCCATTCTGTTAAATGATTACTGTTCTCTTCAAGTGCTTCTCATAGCCTGTCCAGTTCGCCGCTGAGGGATGTTCAACCGTCACCAGAACAAAGAATACAAAACTGACGTCAGACTATGAAGAGACTGAATGTTCCGTGGCAGATGCTATAACAATGTCTTGTTCTTGGAGCTGTATATATAACACCACCATGTTCACTGCTCACACATACTCATAAGCCCCTATATATCTCCATACTCCTCGCCAACCCCAACCCATCTACCAAGTTCAGAGAGACCAGAAATTCACCAACAGGTATGTTCCTTTCCATCGCAATCAAAATGGCTTCCCCTAGTACTCTCATGACCGTCGCCTCCCCCACCACAACACTCGATGCCCTGACACAGCACGACCACGGCAAACCCAACCACTCTGACAAGATAGCTATCATTGGGTTGACCGTCGGCATGGCGCTTCTGTTTCTGCTGTTTGTTGCTCCGTGCTGTTGCCTGCAGTATCTGGCCCATCGGCAGCAGAAGAGGGAGCAGAACAAAGAGGCTCGGAAACGTGGTATAGTTGCGGGACGACAATCTGCGGTGGTCAGGAATAGGTCAGCTGAGGCACAGGTTTAGGTAAGTTATGGTGAGTTCTGGTGATATTCAGGTGAGTTAGATAAGAGAGATTGAGGTTGTTTGGGAATGGTGCAAGTGAACGTGGCTGTCAGTGCAAGCCAGCGAGGAATAACCTGACATGTTTGCAGACTCGGGCATGCATTATCAACCTCAAACAGCTACATGATGTTGTTTTTGATGGGAAAGTCTATTATATTCTTCACTTGTCGTTGCTACTCATAAATATACCAAAACATTGTTCCCCTTGTACATCGATCTGTTGCCGTGTTTGTTTAGTGTCATTATCTCATCTCCCAAACTTCCAACTCGCATCCATCCCTTGGTGAACATCTTCAAGCCATCCAGACTGCAGTCAAGAATCCTCTGCAGTCACTCACTGACAGCATCAAGTCCTCGGTAAGTCATCCCCCTATGTCACATCACAACTAACATCTCAGGCAACCGCAACAATGACAAACACCATCCACCGCCGCATGAGCGACACCAATGTAGTCATCGCCATCGCCATCAGCTGCACCGCCATCGTCGTCATCTTCCTTGCAGCAGTTTGTTTCTGCAACTGGCGCTCTCGTCCCAAATCACCTACTGGTGCCCGCGGCCGCGACCACGACGATTCGGATGCCAACTCTGACATTGAACTGGATGCCATGCCTGATGGTGCTCTGAATCATCCTCTTGTGCGGGGGAGCAATGGTGCGGGACATGTTTACCCGGTCTTTGAAGCGACTCAGACTCATGCTCAGAACTGAGGGTGTCGGAGGCAGGGTTGGGCAGACGGAAGATCAGGGACTGTCTGTGAGAGGAAAGGGATTGACTCAAACACTCTGATAATAGCAAGACTCTAAAATGCTGTGATTCATAACTTGTGACTTGACAAAATATATGATACATTGCTCCCTGGTATCCATCCCTACCAACGCCGCTCTATAAATCCAACATGCACCCTACTCCATGGAGATTCCCAGCTCATTATCATACCAGCACCAAACTTTTCAAAAGTACAATCTCATAACCCTAACCCATGTTGCCCATTGGGAAATTGCCGAATAACGAAACAGGCATCTGACTCTGCTGCTGCTGTGGCGGTTGATTCATGTTCCCCCATAAATCCCAATTCAGCGTCGATACATCCAGATAATTACCCAAAAATGGATCAAGATCGGTCATTTGTTGTGAGTTTTGTGGAGGATGGGCGACAGGTTGTTGCGGCGAGGGTTCTGAGGTTCTGTTCTCGCTCTTGACGACGTCTCGTAGGCGATAGATAAAGTTTGGTGTCTCGAGGGGTTGGCCAGCTGCTCTAAAGGCTTGCTCTCGGTTCTTCCAAGCTTTCAGGACTGTCTGGGCTTGGATGTAGTATGTCTTTTGGGAGATGTCGAGGAGTTCGGTGTGGTAGTGGTAGATCTTCTGGACCATGTTCCATGCGCGGTCGGCGAGGGAACCAGTCGGTCGTTGGCAGAGCTGCTTGGTCATGACTGTAAAGATATCAATCTGGAAATGAAACTTGAGGAACCAGAGGAAACCAGTTTGGTCCATCACGCCATATGCATCTGTGCTGTGCTCATTGTTCATCAACACAATCTTGAAGAGGTTATCCTTCTTGTCGAGAATTTCTGTTCCCCATTCTGGCTGCTCCTTCATGGGGACTAGTATCTCCCTCATCTTGCTGCAGATCATCGGACGAATGCTGAGTGCGGCGATGTGTACGTTTCCAGCCGTAGGATCGATGTAACGAGCTTCGACTTCAAGCAAATTCTGCTCTAGATTATCCACCAAATCTCGGTACTGCTGAATACTCGGTAGAATGGCAGGATCCTGGCCTTCAAAGTCGTGTCCCATGACGGCAGCTTCTAATCCGGGGGTTCCGTGGAGTGATTCGGCGTTGACGAGAAACTTGGCGATCTGGTAGCCGATTAGACAGAAAGCCATTTCTGTGGGACCCTCGCGGGGTAGAACGGGTTCGATTGATCCTGGGAAAAGGTCGGCATCGTTTACGTTTTGTGGCATCTTGGTGTCCCAGCTGCTTGGGAGAAGCGAGTGGCTCAAGCCAGAAACTAGAGCATTCTTGGCATCCTGGAGGATGATCTGCCACCACATACGTCGTCGCATTTCGGTCTCAAAGGCGTTTAGTCCCAGGTAGTCGCCGTCACGGTGGTAGCCCATCTTTTGCGCGATACGCACAACCATTCCACTGAGAATCCAGGCCGCATGTCGATCATATCGGTTCTGGAGAGATAACTGGAATCGTCAGCAATAGTTCCACAGGGGTATTGTTATCTTACCAAGTAAAGCAGCAATGCCTGCAGAGCCACCATGTCGTAGTTTTTGAGAAAGTTAAACTTTGTGAGTGCCACCTTGGTTCCAATAGTGTACCTGCGGAGAGCTTCATCCCGAGATGTTCCCAGCATCTGAAGGCATTCGGTTTCGGTGAGGGATACTGTGGCCATGGTAAATATGGCGAATAGGAGAGCCTGATAGTTGAGTGGGATCTTGTTGATATCGGTAGCCATCTCCAAAGCGAATGGTTGCACTGATGGCACGTGGATAATCTTGGTCAGAGGATTGACACGATCGACAAATAACTGCCAGAGCCTAAAGATGTGAACCGGCTCAGGCTGGAGTTCCTCGCATGATCTGGTAGCTGTATCGGCGGGTATCAAAAGATCAATGTTATAATCTGGACTGAGATCTTCAGAGCCCATTACACTGGCTTCTTCTGGATCATCGGTGTCGACAATTTCTCTCATTGCTTGGAGCTTGAATGGCATTAGTGCATGTTAGCAGGCCAAGTCGGTAGACTCACCTCATCGTGGATATTAGCCCAGAGATAACTGTCCATGAATCGCACCCCGCCCTCTTCCTTGACCATCTTGCCAGTTGGTTTCCACTTGGACTGGCCGTCGACGTTGGTGGGTGTCGCGGGATACGTATCTACGGTCCCATTTGCAGCAGGTGAATGGCCAACAGCAGAAGGAGATGGTACAGAACCATCGGCGTATTGTTTTAGGAGCTGCTCACATCGTGCAAGTCTTTCCTGAAGGTCCTGATTGGGTCTCCGGCGCTTCCTTGCCGGAGCGGGAGTGCTTGGAGTACAAGTAACATTTGCCTGGATTCGCATTAATGGCTGAATCTGATAAGAGATTGCGGCTGGAGATGCTCACCTTGATACAATTTGAACAGGGTGTGTTACGGTCGCATTTGATCTTGCGATGCTGACACAAGACGCAGGCCAGAACACGAGGGTTCTTGTGCGATACAGAGCCCGGCCCGTGAGTGATATTGTTTGACATGACCGCAGAATTGAGCAAAACCTCACATAACAGTCATAGAGTCTCGTCCTCGTCGATGAGAGTTGAAGGTTGAGTAAAATATCCTATGACGCCAGCGTGAGCTCCACCGTACAGTACGTACAGCTCAGGCAGAGCGGGTAGCTGGGGTTCTTCAGAAGCCCGCTTCCGTCCGTTTCACTGGGGTCAGGTGAGTGAGGGGGAGGGGCAGCAGGACAGAAACGCAAACGGAACAAAGAGTCTGTCAAGACTGAAAGAGGAGGATAAGAGATAAAATGTGATGAATGTGAAATGGTTATGATCGATCAGACACCTCAGAAACTCCCTGGTGTAAAAAAAAAAAAAAAAAAAACGATAAGCAGGGCAGCTGACGATACCGTAAGATGCCGAGTCTACCGGTATAATGTAGAGCCGGTTAGGTTATGGCTGGCTGAGGTGGTGCTTTGCTTGTCTTGTCTCTTCTGGGAGGTAGCCCAGGGGCTGGCCTATTGGTCTTTTTTTATCCAGGTCTGTTCGGATCGGATTGTTCAGTGGTTGTTGAAGATTGTCCAATGCCTCTGCATAAAAAAAGGTGGTATGAAAGGGTTGAATAACTTAATTAAACGCGCATACCGGAATCCGCGTATTCCGTTTATTCGACAGTCACATCAGTTGACGTAGGTGTTAGGGAAGTAGTCCAAAGATATAAGGAAATAAAATAATTACCCCCTTGTTCTTAGGGCTGTATCGATTCAGGCAGATATTTAATTCTCCATACCGTAAATAGACAGTAGGCAGACCTGGCCAAAGGGCAAGGTTGATATAAAGCCGCCTGGCAGGAAAATCGCTGATGCATTCCTTAGAGTTTCACATGGTCGATATGCTAAAATCGAATCTTCTAGCTGAAACTGACCAATGAGGACCCCCTGGACCCGAACTCGAGGGATAGCGGCGGACTTTTGTCATCCAAGTCCGCCGCAACGGACCAAAGCACCAGCCCTGCCCGATGACTCAATTTGTATCAGACCTGTTACCGTATGCAGACTGACGGACATTAAATACTTAAAACCTTGATCCGATACTATCCCAAAGGGTCTGTAGTTTGGCATCGCACCCTACGTCAGACCTTTAAAAGCTATGCTCATTCATACAGTACACAGCCGTTTAAAACTGGGCTCCTTGATCAAATATTTTCGTAAACTTCGGAAGCTCCGGAAGGTTAAGCCACTTAAACTAGGTAGACCACCTAGCCCTCTCCAACCCAAACGCTCAGTTCACTACCTATAAGCTCTTCTCCGCAGTGTTTGTAAGAACTCTCTGTGTCGCTCTCTCGTCGGGTTGTGGGAACAGCCCGGTCCCATATGGTTTTCGTATCCTTGTCTATGTTTCGCCTTCTGATGATATCCCCCCACGGACGTGATATCACCGAGTGTCCGGTGAACCTATCAGGCTCTGAAGAGTAGTAATTCATCAAAACTGACTTCTATCATGATCTGCCCGCGTTAAAGGTCTTGTGCCTGATTCGGGTGAGCGGGTTATTATCGTCCCTTTCATCCTAGGCCAGCTGACCATTATGCAAACTGGCATGATCCTTGGTTAAGCAGAGGGCCTCGCATAGATCGTCCCGGCATGGTGAATTCAATGCCAGCTCATCATAAGTACGGTAAGCCCTATGGAATAGTTCAACGGCAGTTGTCTCCTCTCCAAGTCTTCGGAGTCCGGTTGCACTTCAGGGCACTTCGATTTGTAAGGCAGACTGATGATTCACACGGCATGTCAAACAGCGTGTTGAAACATGAAATACCTCTGTTATTCGTTTAGACGGATCAACGGCTAGCATCCGAGTCGATCCGATGACGGCATCTGGTGTCGGTATCTTGTTTCAAGCGATGACCTTGAGCAGCCAGCTTTACGCCTAACCATAATTCTCATATCATGGTCGCAAGTGACGTGACTGTTCAATACCGGCTCCATGGAATCCATGGAACGGACTCGGATCGTGGCATGTGGGGTTGACTGTTTGTATTGATCACTCTGAAAACATGGACCCCAGCTCTGGCCCAGAATCTCCTTCATCTTTGCCCTCGGGCACTTTTTCCACTGGTACCAAAGACGTTCTAGCTTTCTTGCGAACAACCCGTCGATGAGTTGAACTTTTTAAATGCTGTTTCCATGCCTCTTCTGTCATTAACACTGTATGGCAGACTTCGCATGTACGTTTGCATGGTGTTGCTTTTGGTGGTGGGTTGCCAACTTGTGTAAGGACTTCGTTCGCAAGTGACGAAACCTCAGTCGGTAACGGACGTTCTTCGCCTTTGAGGAACTGTTCAGTCAACTTTACGGCCGGCTCAACGACGTTCTGGCCATATGCAGAGACATCCGTACTGTCCAGAAGATACATGTTGTTCATAGCTTCTGGGCCAATCTCACGTATCCGCGGAATCTGCTTCAGTCTAATCCAGCGAGTCTGATAGACAGCATATCGCCTCGTTGCCGACTTCATCTCTTCCAGTCCTGTGCTCTTCAATTTCTCGAGCTCTGCAGCCTCTCGCCCCTCGTCAACAGCAGACAAGTATGGCTCGAACTGCTTATATCCAATTGACTGCCATATCCCCTTTGTCATGTCGAGACGCTGGCCTTCCGCTTCCTTTTTATTCTTAAATTCGTAAAGTTCTCGGACTTCGTCCATGAGTCCACTCGTCTGCATCTTATCGACTCGCTTATCGAGACGATCTCGCAGGACATCTCGTTCCGAGTAGACCCAGAATAGCAGATTCTCCCAGGGCTGCTTGTTGGCGTCTTGCTGGGCTGCTTCTTTTCGAGCTTGTTGCTCGGCATAGTATTCGGATGCTCTTTTGCCGCTCCGAAGGTAAATCTCCAGGGATCGCTGGATCTTGCGACGATCCTTGGGGTGCCATCGATCAGCCATGACAGGGTCAACCTTTCGTAATTCATGGAGCATAACTTCGCCTGACTCTTGCAAGATTGGAAATGACTTGGACATATCCAGGTCTATGTCGTCCAGAATAACCTCTTTGAAGAGTATGGGGTCGACATAATACTGTGAACCACCGACGAGAATGGGCAACCGTCCTCGGCCACGAATCTCTCGTATTGTCCGAGTCGCTTCCCTCTTGAAATCATCAACATCCCATGGTTGCTCATCCAAAGAAATATGTCCAAGAAGATGATGAGGAATGCCACGCTGTTCTTCAGTGGTGATTTTATTGGTGATGATTGGCAGTCCATTATACAACTGCATAGCATCGGCGTTGATGATTTCACCATTCAACCGAGTTGCAAGTTCAACTGCCAACTATATCTGTCAGAACCATTCTACCCTGGGTGATGCTAACTTACATCTGACTTGCCCGTGCCCGTTGATCCTAGCACAACCACCAGGGGTTCTGCTGGAGGTTTTCTAGACATTGTAGTGAAATTTCGCCTGAGAAGAGGACCCAGGCGACGAAGCATCTAAAATAAAGCCATAAACATCGATTCCCAATAACTACTTGCTTGCCCTTGTCGTGTTCCCAGTGAATGAATATTGAGTCAAACCCTCAAATGTTCCAGAACAGGCAAAGCGGAGTCATTTGACGGAAAAATTACGGCGGGGTCCAAGGGTTAGCTTCAATTGGTCTCAGAGGCTGAAACCCCTTTGTTCACAGCTCGCTAGCTCCCTATAGGCTATTACCTGGAGAAGCTCAGGGAATGGAACCTTAGCTGGAGCTCCCCATCTCGAGTCGCCCCTGGAGGTCACGTGCCACTCCACTCCCAATATTGGACACATCTACAATTTGGGCTCATTGAAGCCAGATCGCCAACCTCCGCCCCCCCAGCTCTCCTTTAATTATTCTCCCATCGACCCTTCAAATCGCCTGGGCTCTTCAAGCTCAGCATCTTCCTTTTCTTTCCTTCTTTCTTCCCCTCATTGGATGAAATAGTCCAATTCTTGTTCTGTCCCTTTAGTCTCGTTGCCCACCATGAGTTCCCGTAAGTTTTGTTCTCCTTGTCTGGAGCTGAAAGCTTCCAAGTTTAAGCTCGCGCGACATCACAAAATGGCGCGCAATTGCCAATTGGCATCGCGAATCATCGGACAGAAAAGCTAACAGTGGCTGCGCTCGATAGTACGATTCCTTGATCTGGTCAAGCCGTTCGTGCCGTTCCTCCCAGAGGTTCAGCAGCCGGAGACTAAGATCCCCTTCAACCAGAAGCTCATGTGGACGGCTCTCACCCTCCTCATCTTCCTGGTCATGAGCCAGATGCCTCTCTACGGTATCGTCTCCTCCGACAACTCGGATCCTCTATACTGGCTGCGAATGGTCATCGCGAGTAACCGTGGTACGCTGATGGAATTGGGTATCACACCCATCATCTCCTCTGGCATGGTTTTCCAGCTCCTTGCTGGCACCCACATGATCGACGTCAACCTTGACCTCAAGTCCGACCGCGAGCTCTACCAGACCGCCCAGAAGCTTCTGGCCTTTATCCTCTCCGCCGGTACTGCTACTGTCTACGTCTTCTCTGGTCTCTATGGACCTCCCTCCGACCTTGGTGCTGGTATCGTCTTCCTCCTGATCCTCCAGCTCGTTGTTGCTGGTATGATTGTTATTCTCCTCGACGAGCTGCTCCAGAAGGGCTACGGTCTTGGCAGCGGTATCTCTCTGTTCATCGCCACCAACATCTGCGAGTCCATCATGTGGAAGGCTTTCTCTCCCACCACCATCAACACTGGCCGTGGTCCCGAGTTTGAGGGTGCCGTCATTGCCCTCTTCCACCTCCTCATGACCTGGCCCAATAAGCAGCGAGCTCTCCAGGAGGCTTTCTACCGCCAGAACCTTCCCAACATCATGAACCTCCTTGCCACCATTGCCGTCTTTGCCGCTGTCATCTACCTCCAGGGTTTCCGCGTCGAGATCCCCGTCAAGTCTTCTCGCCAGCGTGGTGCTCGTGGATCTTACCCCGTCCGCCTGTTCTACACCTCCAACATGCCCATCATGCTGCAGTCCGCTCTTTCTTCCAACGTCTTCCTTATCAGCCAGATGCTCTACTCCCGCTTCTCTGAGAACCTCCTTGTCCGTCTCTTCGGTGTCTGGGAGGCCAAGGATGGTTCTTCTCAGCTCCACGCTACCTCTGGTCTCGTCTACTACATGTCGCCTCCCCAGAACCTGAAGGAGGCTCTTCTCGACCCTATCCACATGAGCGCCTACATTGTCTACATGCTCGGTGCTTGTGCTCTCTTCTCCAAGACCTGGATTGAGGTTTCTGGCTCCAGCCCTCGTGATGTTGCCAAGCAGCTCAAGGATCAGGGTCTCGTCATGGCTGGACACCGTGATCAGTCCATGTACAAGGAGCTCAAGCGCATCATTCCTACTGCCGCTGCCTTTGGTGGTGCCTGTATTGGTGCGCTCTCCGTCACCAGTGACCTTTTGGGCGCTCTTGGTTCCGGTACCGGTACTCTCCTTGCTGTCACGTAAGTTGAATCTCCCTCTAACTCTTCAATCGCAATACTAACATCTACAGTATTATCTACGGTTACTTCGAAATCGCCGCCAAGGAGGGTGACATGGCCGGTATGAAGGGCATGATTATGGGCTAAACAGCCATCTCGAACACAAGGCACGATTGATTCAGCCTTCGTTGTGGCCCGCTAAGACGGGCGTTTGTGTATCAACAGTAAAGAGGAAGAAAAGATAAAATAGTCAACATGTTTTTGTTTCCTTTTTGCTCAACAAGCCGGAGGAGTCGGGGGAGTGATGTCATATTGGCTGGGAAGGAATTGGGACAGTCATTAAAGACTGTCGTGTCATTATTAACAAAAATAGCTCAAGAGCTGTCATGACGGGTTGGTTGGAGAGGGACGCCATGTCTGAAAGCCACGTGTGTGGTACGGATGAGCTCCGTAGTAACTCAAGAACGATCTATGAATGACATATATTTAATGCCAATTGTGCAACGTCCGATTTCGCTTGACTGTCTGCAGGGTAGTTGACATAGGAATGGATAAGAGATGACTGTAACCCTTGTACACTGTTACATGGGCACAGTACACAACCAAAGAGGAAACAGTCTACCTAGACAGCATCTACACCAGAGCCTAGTTCACGGATTGTCTCATCACTGCAGGTCTCACCGGTCCTGCAGAAGTGAGGCCCTCGCGTCACGGTCCAACAGGAACACACCCAGTTCAACTGCAAGGTCATCATACTTCGATTGGTCAAAGGCGTTGGATGTAACCGCTACACGGCATTAGACCGTGGGGGAACCGTTTCCCCATGCCCCAGGGACCTGGAGTAACGATAAGGGAACGAGTGTATTAGCCGGCGGTGAGGGATAGCGAATCACGCAAGAGGGGATTGTTATCAATCTGACGGTTTGCATGTGTTGAGGCTGAATGCACGACACATGTCTTGTTGTACGAATGTTGTGCTGCTCGACAATGTGATTGTTGCAAAAGATTGGATGATAGCACGGTATATATAGAGCCTCAATGGCGGTTTTGACGATTGATAGGTGAGAAACAGAGTTATAAGCGATTGGATGAGCCGTATGTTCTGCATATGATAGAGCTACGGACACAACTGTGATGGGTGCGCTCAGACCGCAGGGTGGTATGTAAGCTGTTGAAGACATGATCCCTGTTCAGAGAGACACAAGACTTTAGCTCATGTGGTGTTGTTGTGGAGATGGTTCTTTCTAGGGTAGTTTGTGTGATGGTTGACTGGAACGTTTGTCGTGAATTGCATGATATGGTTAGGATGCAATGGTAATTATTGATTAGATAAAGAAGGGCAATATGATTGAACTTCATAATGGTCTTTGTCTGCAGATACAATTCATCTGGGTAGATGAAAGAACAATCACGAGCCTCTTGGATGGACACTCCATAAGCTGCCAGTATACAGGGAGAAGATTATCGTCAAATATTTGATATGCCAATGTACCGGTAATCAATTGGGTATTGATCAGACTCTTTCAATTAACTACAATTATCAACAATCACGATCCCATTATCACCGTGTCTACCATACAGGTACGTGCGTGGAAATTAGTCAAGACTACTGGCATTTTACTGATTCATAAATAACAGCACGTTCCTACGCGTCAACTCACGATGTCTACCACTCCTTGGCCCTACAACCTCTCGCCCTTTGTTTATTCGAGTCAGTCCATCATTTTACAGTCTGACGGTATTAATTCCGAGCCAATGTCTCGTAACGTCACCTGTTAGATAAGGCTGTCGGAGCGAGTTACCTGATGCAAAGGGCACTTTTGTAGCGGTCGGTTAGGTATCTTGAAGTTTGAACGCTAACTGGGTCTGTGTGGCTAGAATACCTTGTCTAGACATGTCTGAGTTTTGGCTCAACGCCGATATCCTTGTGACCTTTTGCAAGGATTATTTGCCATCAATCAGTAGTATTGGAGCGTGCAAACATTTATAGCATTCAATTGATTGTGTTGATTTGAGAACCTGACACCTGCTTGAAACGGAGTAAACGAGGTGATGTCCCCGCAGCCCCGTCATACAGTATAGGCAGAACTGGGGTAACATACAGATTGGATTGCTCGCATCATTAATTGCCAATGTTTGTCATGACGACTTGTGAGAAATTTGTAGTGGGTAGATGGGTCCCAAGGATGGATCGTTTAGGCTAGAGGTTTTGTCAAATTTATTTCTGTCAGTCAAGGAATAACCCGACGCCAACTGAATTCAAGGCTATCGCAAAGTTACAGAGCAGTGCAACATTGCATTCATCATCTGTAGGGATCGCATCGCATCGCATCGCAAGCCATCGTTACCTCACCTACTGAACTGTACCTAGCCTGGGGCCATCTGCTGCCCCACTAAAGCTTCATAGCTTGCATCTCACTCCCTGGACACCGACACATGCCCTCCACTTTCCTCTCCCCCCGGTGCCATCCAACAAGAGTAAAGTCTTGCCTTGTCTTGCGTGCGTGCTTGTGAATCCATAACGTATCTCGGAACTTGTGTTGTTTTGGCCTGGCCTAGTCTACTCTTCCCCGTTCGTTCGTTCGTTTTGGTTCTTCTCTTCAACGGCCGCCGCACTCTTCGTCTCTTCCTCCTCTTTTCTTAGTTCCTGCAAGTCACGGTCAAAACTCTTTTGTTTCGACTGCATTCTTCATCTAATACTTCTATTGGCATCGGTACCGATATTCTTTCTTTTTTCCAGTTTCTTTGCAGAGTATTCTTCTTGGTCCTTTCACGCTCTCTACAAAGACGTCATTCGTCGGAGAGTGTTCAGAGTTCGCATACAAAACTCTGACGGCATCTGATCGATGATCAGCACGACAATCTGCGACCTCGGCATCATCATACGCTTCGATTGAGCGCTGAACGACTCGAAAATTGCAATCGCAAAGAAGCGCAATTACGGTCTCGAGATAGAATCTTGTCGACCATCCGGGTT